GACACCTTTGCTTGTCCTGTGGAGTCCTCTAGATGTACCTTCACATTATCAAATTCTCCCAAATTTATAAACCCTTTTAAAAATAATAATCAACGTATCATGTCAATTTCTGCTGTCCATATACTTGTAGATGTGTAAATTTATCTACTGGTGCTTGGTCTACCTTCTAGTGGTTCACACTTAGTGAAAATTGCCACCTGCTCAGAATCCATGAATTGTCAATGACTTCTCACCTGGTTCTAGCTTCTCATGAACCCTTCCCTCACACTAGAATATTGACTGGCTTGATATTGTCTGTGTGTGTTACCAAGATGAAACATTTATACTCAAAACCACAGAGATCCCACAAGCTGCAAAATTCCCACCTATTGTGACTTTATGAGTGCAGTGGTCCAGACAGAGCCAGTAGATACTACTACTGCTACTACTGTTATTATTATTATCACTATTATTATTATTATTATTATTATTATTACTTGTGGTACTCCTTCACATAATGCCCTTTGAATTTTTCCATCCTGTTTATCATAATGTTATCATAATGTTATCTGAAACTTTGGTTGGGGATTGATAAAGATATCCTACTTGGGACAGGGATTTACAGACTCATTCATTTTTTTGCATTTTGGTCAATGCAATAACTATCTTCACAGCACACAGAAAGTGCTGTAATGGGTTCTGAGTATTGTACTAACTTAAAGCTAAGGATATATGAATTTAAAGAGTAGTTTGATACTATGTCCACTTAGTAAAATAATGGCATTCATTGAGTTCATGGAGCTTGCAAGATCCCCAACCATGGGTTCCTGGTCCAATTTGCCGCTCTAGGCTGCCTGGAGACCAGTGATTCTACATTTGTAGCCCCAAAACATAGATAAACACATAATTTCTCTATTATTATAAATCTAAAGCCACAAATTTATTTTTGTTGGTACATCATGACTGTAATTTCTCTAATGAGCAGTCTTTCAGATACTAGGAAATATTTGTTTTCCAATAGTCAAGATCCACAGGTTGAGAATCACTGCTATAGAGCAAGCCTCAAATGCAACTGGAAAGTGGCTGGTTACCCTAACAAAACTTTTGCTGTTAATGTAGCAATGGGAGTATCCTAGTAGGCCAGTCTTTGTTGTAGTTCAAAGTGTTCACAGGTGGGTAAGACTATGACTGACTTCCTCAAATAAACTCAATGCATCTCAGATGCCAAGGCATGTACCAAGCAAAGAGAAAACACATTGGTCAATATGAACTTAATTTCACATGTTCCATCTCAAAAGTGTATGTTGTCTTTGGCAAGAGGGTCTTTCCATACAATACTAGTTTGTAACCAACTGCAGTGACAATAGTCTATATTGTTTGAGGGGTCTCCAGACAATCAGTTCAAAACCTCAAGTGCATGCATCTCACAATTGGCCTTTTGATGGGCACCCTATGAATTTTGATATTATTGTAATACTCTGTACATAATAACCTTAAATAAATACTTTAACAAACAAAAATATACCAATCTTCCATATGACTTTTTTCAAATGTACATAGCGTTAATTATTCCCTCCCCCACACTCCACTTGCATCCATTTTGCCAGTAACAGAATGAAGACCAGTTCTTTGAAATGATCAAAGTGTATCATGAGCATTACTATTTGATGGTTTACATATGCACATTTATATTTGTATGTGTGTTTGTGTGTGTATGTGTGCATGTGAGCATCTTTATATTTGTTAACTTTGTATTGGAAGTTTTACATCAATTATAGTATATGTTTATTTACCACCTCATGATTATGCATTTTAAAGTTGGGAATCCTGTGAAAGCATTTTCAAAGGAGTTAATTGGCCTTTGATGGGTACCCTTTTGAGTGGCCATTTTAACTAAAAAATATAGACTTTTAGTAAAACATTATTTTTTATAATTGAAAATCATATGGTTGTCATGTTGACGATATGGATTTGGGATAGTTATCCTTCATTGTCTGTATGACAATAATGGTGTTTCAGAGAGGTTCAATTGAGGGCAGTAGACCCATTTTTTATTTGTGTGATACTATCCCATAGATTAATGTAGAATCTAAATAAAAAGCACCAGCCCCCAAAACAACTGAGCACTGCAATTTATGTCTATTCTTTGTGACTTTGAACTCAATGGTAACATGTACCTCATGCACCTATCACTACAAATCCATTTTCCCAGTTCTTCTACCTTACCATGACAGACTTTACTTTTAGACTGTGGAGTGAAAGAAACCCACCCTTCTTTGAATTGTCTTTGTCAGGTATTTTGTCTGAGGAACAAGAAAATAAATGTCAGATCTCTCAATGCTTCTCATATGTCCCAAGATCCTGCCTTTCTTATTGCTAGGATGTGAGGTGTGTATGTGTATGCATGCATGCATGTGTATGTATGTATTTTTGTATGTATGTGTGTTAGTGTGTGTGTGTGCGTGTGTGTGTTTTATAGCTAACTTTTTTATCCAACTCCATATCTTGAAAATGCTTTCACTAAATTTGTAGTATTATTTCAATATTTTGGTGGAACAAAATGTGAGAAGTTTTAGCATTTCTGCTAATAGTTAAATTTTTGAACATTTTAAATTGTGAGAAAATTTCAAGCTAACAGAAAAACTGAAAAAGTTAGTAAAAAGCTATCCCATCTAGCTTTACTCAATTCCTATAGTAGATCTTATTTTTTTTCTGGGTGTGGACAATCTATTGGCAAAATGTTTACCTGACAAATGCATTGCCCTATATAACTTATACAAGCAACTGTTTAGAGCATATGTCACAGAGAGCTTAGTATACATTCCCTAGCACAAACAGCATCACTGCAAAATCATCACTGAGATTGCAAGTCCAGAGTATTCATATCTATTTAGCAATATTATTTCATCAGCTAGCACCTTTCACATTTCCCAATAACCACAATGGTGCAATGTGTAAGAAGAAAACAAAGTGTTCCTGTGAAGTATGTAAACCTGGATTAAATATGCATTTACTAAACTTTGTTCTCCACAGTATGATTACATCCAAATCATACATGAAAATAAGATTCTATATTAAGATAAGGAAAACTATTGTCTAGAAGAAACAGCAAAATGTGGAAATGTATGTTCAGTTGTTTTGGAGCTGGAGAACCATGTGATAATGTCTTTATTATGCAGAAACAGCTTACAGATAATACATTATACTAGAAGATAAGAATTGAATCAGAGAAGACTTAAAATATTCAGTTTTATAAAATCAGAAATATGGAAAAATTGTTCCATTTTGTGAAATTGTCAGATGGAAATAAAAATAAAGTTGAGGTATCTGAATGAAACAAATTAAAATTGTAGATGTAGATCCTCTAAACCGACTTGAGGATAGTACTTATGGTTTGGTGGTGTTCTGGTAATTTAGAGAATAATATATCACTGTCTCTTAAGAAGAGTGTGAAATTCTGAATTTGAAGGTCTCTTCACCAAGAACAATCTGTTAATATAATTCCTCCCACCATGGAGAAATTGGAGCTTTTAACTACTTGGGTTGTTGGGGTGTGCACACTCTAGGGCACTGCAGACTTGACACATTTAGTCTTCACAGAAAATAAGAAACTTTCTCCTAGGATCAGTTGATAGATAGAAAGTATGTTAGTCATATAACTCCTTAGGAATAAGCAGAAGGCCAGAGGTATATTTTCTTGAGAAAATGATTATCTACAAACACCCTAATTTTATACAATTGAAGCATTTTGATGAACTTTAGAGAGTTAATGTTATGTAGGAGAGAAGGAAGAGTCACAGAGATAGTCATGGAAGCATAATGAACCAAATGGTCCCCAGGGCTTTGATGAGAGGGTCTTAAATTCTATCAATTTTAAAGCATATGCTAATTATCCATCGCAAGGGATTACATTGTGATAGCTAAATTCATGTAAAATGTGAGCTTGTGTCATATCAGCCATTCTTCATCTCATTTCTATCTCTCTTTTTTGTTCTATGGATCTTTTCAACTGTACTTTATATTTGACTCAGTTCCTCATTGTCCCATGACTTCACATGAAAGAAAATGTTATATTTGCCTTTGTCAGAATGACTAATTTTCTTAAGCTTCCCTCTGGTTCCATCCCCATTTCTGTACTGTATTCATAGCAGAGATGACACTTGGAGAATTGTAGTGGCTACATGTAAGAAGAAATAGACAAGAGCTTGGAGCTTGGGAACTGGCTCAGTATTTAAAGCATGTAGTGATCTACCAATGAACTAAGTTCTGTTCTAAGCAACCACACTGAATGACATGTAGCTACAGTTCCAGAAATTTCAAAGCACTCTTCTTGCCTCTGTGAGCAGCAGACCTGTATAGTGTGGACATGCACACACTTAAGCACAAACATATGCACAAAATTAAAATATTTAAACATTATCAATAAGACTTCAGTTGTGGAAAGATGGCTTGGAACTTCACAGAAATGACTGCCCTTGCAGAGTTCCAGTGTCTTATTTTTATCACCCAGTGTGTTTGCTTGCTCAAAATTATCAGTGACTCCAGTTCTAATGGGTACAAAACATCTTCTAAGCTTTTGTACATGAAACCTTTTCCTAAGGTTTTGTACATGAAGTACACAGATAGAAATATACCCATTCATATAAAAGAAAAAGAATATTACACACACACACACACACACACACACACACACAGAGTCAACCAAAGGTATATTTTTCTGGGCCATCAGATAATTCGTAACCTCACAAATGTATTATCTCATGTTCACTATACTTTGCTTGATATTGTATTAACAATTTATACTCAAAGGTAATCTTATATATTAGAAATGTTAGTCATTACTGAATAGTAAATTATATAAAAATAAAGTTGAGATAACTGATAACTGACTTCTGATGAGTTCATATAGTGAAAGAATTGATTACAGGATGATTGATATTTTCAAACTGCAATCATAGCATTGTAAAACAGATTAAAAATAAGACAATATATAAGATAAGACATATTGTACTTGGATGAAGCTATCTTTTACAAAAGCAGGACAAAATCAGTCTACAACTAGGTATAATATTGCTCATGAGTACAAAGGGGCAAACTATAGGAAAGCATGATTCAAGAAATATTACACATATTCGCAGTAGCACTGGATATTTGGAAAATGCCATAAAGATGACCGTAATGGAGGAGAATGAGTAAGAGATGATGAAAGTGAATACCAGGATGAGGATAGATTGGGTAGCTCTGTTTTCAGGTGAGGCATTTAGAAAGTACTGAGAACTATGGATATGCTTGACTTGTTTCTTATGTCTATAGAGGACGCTTACCATGGAGACACTTGAGCAGGCCATGAGACCCAGACACAGTCCATCTGAGAAGCACAGTAAGACTATACACAGTGCAGTTTCCACATTTCCAGAACTAAACCATGAACAGTATTCATAAATCTTCCAGTTAGTCACATTTTTGTTGTACCTGGGGCTTGATAATCTTACTGGAGTCATGATGTTTAGAAAGAGTTGCACAAGCCAGCCTACTGAGCAGGAGGGACCAACATTCTTGGTGGCTCTGTGATTAAGCATTATCCACCTGGAGTTGCTGGGGCTGATTGTGATTGCTTGGAAGCAACTCAGTAGGCACATAGCATACAGGGACAGTCCCCTTGTTATTCGGTAAATATAGTTGATTAACTTACATCCAATATCATCCAGGAAATCTTTAAATCCATAATGTGACAGTGTCTGTGGAATGCCTTTTGAGATGATATACAAGCAGTTGGCAAAAGCCAAGTGCTCTATAATCTGGTCTTTGGGTCTTAAAAGCTTTCTAGTAGATATTGAAATGATATAATAAAGTAGTATTGAAGAATTTCCAATCATGCCCACTGTAATCTGAGAGAAGAGAAAAATTTCCATTGCAAAATTTTCAGAAGCCATTTTCTTTCCTATAAAAAAGTAAATAAATTTATTATAGTTATTAATCCTTAAATACATTAACACTTGCATTACTTCATGATGTTAGCTAAAGGAATATAGTTATCACTTTAGTGCTTTTGTATAGCTCTCCCACTTAAGAACATTCAAAGGTTTGTTGGTAACATAAATGTTCTCTATTAATTAAATGGAAAATTTTGACACCTTTCCTCTGAATAATACTATCACTGGACAAGGTGCTGCATGACCTTTAACATAGCCATCAAAAGATAGAGGCACACAGACAAATTTATTTGATGGTAATCTGGCCTACACAGCTATTTCCAGGGCAGATTGTGTTATAGAACACATAACTCTATGTTAAACCCCCCAAAGTGATAAATGTTTTTATTTATTCTGAAAGACATGATTATTTGAGGTCAATTTTCAAAGAAAGCACTTTTAAGATGCATTAATTCTGAAGCTCACAAGAAATATAATTTACAATTCCTTAAGAAAGCAATAAATAATATTTGAAAATCTTATTTTAAAACAGTAATTAAATATTCACAATATGTAAAGTATATTTATTTTAACATTTATATAGTGTTTCATTATGTGTTTTTAATCATGGAGGTGATTGCATGAGAGTGTATGTTCCAACGGTGTCCAGAGTACCTGGGTCTGCCAACTATGGATTTGGAGGCAGGGATAAGCCACAAATAGGAACTTCAAACTGAACTCACATAGAATGTAATCGCAATATGCACTCTTAAGAAAGGGCTTGTCCCTCTATCCTACAAAAATATTTGAATCTACATTTGAAAATATCATAAAATATGAAACAAATTAATGATGGGTTCATGACTTGGATAAGTTACATGTAAACTGTTCAGATGTTGAAAAATGTGCAAAATCTGGCCCAATATCCTTAATAATTAAAGGAATACAGTGAAGGGATGCAAATCAAAGCTGCAATGAGAGGTCATCACATTCAGTATAAACTAATATTAATCAAAACAAATTACTGTAAATAAAGGCAAGAGTTAAAGCTGCTGAGCACACGGTGAAATAAGAATCCCTGTGCAGATTCTATTGAAAAGGAAAATATTTTAGCAACTATACTAGTATCGTTTTTCTTCAGTAAACTGATAAATCATTACCAAATTCCAATTTACATGTTACAAGAATCTGGGATTCTGAAAGGATTCAAAGCCATATAGGAAATGACCGGTTTTGAGTAAAATGTGTAAAAGAATGTTCTTTGTTTTTTTCAAATTGCCCTACTATGTTTCAGCAGTTCTTAGGTAGAATTTGAAAACCCACAGTAATTTCTTTCTATTATGTTTTGTAGTCAAAATTTCTAAACTTACATTTTTTTATATAAATTGGATATCAGCATGCATAAAAACTGGATTATGATTATAGCCTCTCACTTTTTACTAAAGTTGTCAACACATTTAAAACCTGAAATGCTACAACCATAAGAGCAATATGCTAGTACACAGATATAGGTGGCAGCAACAAGACTCAATAGTACAGACGTTGCACAAAGAATTTAGAAGTAGAACTATTTGAAATTAAAAGCATTCTGCACATTAAAGAAAAGTAAAACTCTAGTGTGGTAAAACCTACAAGATGGTAGAAAACATTGACTTTTGAACTTCATTCAGGAGCTTAATATCTACTGTGTATAAAGGAAAATAAAGATTAAACTATATCTTCACAAACTTTTGAGTCATCAGATTAATGATACCTACAGAAATTCTTTAAAGATGTAACATAGAAGTGCAGGAAATGCCTTTTACATGTACTCACCATATGTGGCATTTCTGTAA